GGCCACTGTGGGTGAGGGGACACGGCCACCGCGGGTAGGGTGACACGGGGACACTGCCACCGTGGGTGCGAGGACATTGCCACCACCGCGTTGTCCCCTGAGCCACCCCCCCGGGGGACAGGGCCATACCCCGGTGACGCGCGTGGCCAGCCCGTCCTCCATGTCCTGGCTGGTGACATCCTCGGGCCACGTGTCCTCGCTGAGCTGCAGCTCCTGTGCCACCGCCACCTCCACCTTGGCCTGGGACATCGGGGGGACATCGGGAATGGGGACAGCGGGAGTGGGGACAGCGGGACACAGAGTCCCTGCCGTCCCGATGCTCTCCCCGGTGCCACCGCAGTGCTCATTCCGGTGTCCATCCCAGTGCCCCCATGTGTCCCCAATGTCCCCGTCCCAGTGTCCCCAGTGTCCCCACCTTGACGGCAGAGATGCAGGAGCTCTCGAGGTCCCGCTGGGTCTCGGGGGGCAGGAGGGGCCCCAGCGCCTGCGCCCGCAGCAGAGCCCCCACCTCGGGGTGCCCCAAAACCTCCCTGGGGACAGGGGACAGCCCCGGTGGGTGTTTGGGGACACGGGGACAGCCCCGGTGGGTGTTTGGGGACACGGGGACAGTCCCGGTGGGTGTTTGGGGACACGGGGACAGGAGCGGTGGGTGTTTGGGGACACGGGGACAGGAGCGGTGGGTGTTTGGGGACACGGGGGGGACACGGGGCGCTCGGTAGGTGACAGATTTTGGGAGTCCCGCGGTTGCGTGAGGGTGCCCGGGGTGTCCCCTCTGTGCCGGGGCTGTCCCCGGGGTGTCCCCGGGGTGTCCCCCCGGTGTCGGGGCAGTCCCCGGGGTGACAGAGGTGTCCCCTCGGTGTCGGAGCTGTCCCCCCAGTGTCGTGGTGTCCCCCCGGTGTCGGGTCTGTCCCCTCGTGTCCCCCAGGTATCGGTGCTGTCCCCGGGGTGCCGGGTTGTCCCCTCGGTGTCGGGTCTGTCCCCTCGTGTCCCCCAGGTATCGGTGCTGTCCCCGGGGTGACAGAGGTGTCCCCTCGGTGTCGGGGCTGTCCCCCCGGTGTCGGGGCTGTCCCCCATGTGTCAGAGGTGTCCCCCCGATGTCCCCAGCTGTCCCTCGGTGTCCCCGCGGGTCTCTCACCTGGGGTAGGCGTTGCTGTGCCAGTCGAGCAGCAGGTACAGGTCGGGCACGTCCAGGGGTCTCTGGGCGAGCGCCCGCAGCTGCTGGGCCAGCGCCCGGTGGTAGCCACGGGCATAAACCCCGAGCGCTCCGTACTCGGGGGGGTACGCGGGGGCCACGTGGCTCCGCACCACCCCCAGGTCGCCCACCACCCTGGCGGCCAGCGCGGCCAGCCGGGCTCCCAACCCGCCCGCCGGGGCTACCTGGGCCAGCCGCTCGCTCGCCGCCCTGGCCACCGCCTCGTGCCAGCGCCGCCGCAACCCCCGCGGTCGCCCCGGGCGAGTCCCGGGAGGGCTCCGGGCGTCCGCCGCTTCTTCCTGCTCCAGCACGGCCACCACGGCGCGCAGCGGGGCCACCGCTCGCCCCGCGGCCACCGCCTCGGCCACCACGGCCCAGAGCTGGGCTAGCAGCGCTCGGTAGAGCAGGGCCACGTCCCGCTCCCTCCGGCCGCCCGCGGGGCTCGGGGACGGTGGCGGGGAGCCCGAGGAGGGGGACGCGGGCAGGGGACACGGGGACGGTGGCCGCGACGGCGACAAGGAGCACTCGGCCTCGAGCGCGATGATCTGAGCGTCCGCAGCCACCAACTCCCGGCGCTGGATCAGCTCCAGGATCTCCAGCACTGCGGGGACACGGCGGGGACACGGCGGGTGGGCTCCGTGTCCCTTGTCACCGTGTCCCCGTGACACCGTGACACCGTGCCCGTGTTCTTTGTCACAGTCCCCAGCCCTCATCTCTGTCCCATGTCCCAAAGTCGCCATCGCCGTGTTCCTGTGGCCACGAGTCCCGTGTCTCCATCCCTGTCCCCTGCCCCGTGTTCCCTGTCCCGGGGCCCCTG